GCCTTGGACGGAGGAAACTGACAGCTTATGACATCTGAACAAGGGCCTGTAATCCTCCAGTGTTTTGGCAGCTGTGCCGTAAATTAAATACTTAATGGTGTTTATTACAAAATATAACATGTGATTTATATAAATAATAGAAAAGTATTTTAATTAGATATTTACATACAAAAATACAAATGCATGCAAGAATGATGAGTCAAAAAAAGCACTATTTGCTTTTCAATTGATAATATCTATGGCACATGGCTCAAGTGAGGAAGGGTTTTAAGGTCTACTTTCATTTCATAAGGGATTATTTTATTGATTTTAATAAATATTATAATAGAAAAAAATCTAATAAATTGTGCTAGAGGTATGAAAGTTATTATCCAATTTTTTTTTTTAAAGAAAATTAATTTAAATGTTCTTAATAGTTATCAAAACCTTATTTTTTCCTCGACAATAACAACTTACAAAAATTACGACCAACTCAACAAATCTCTCAGTCGTCACTTTTTTGTTGATGTTAATATGCTTTTCTAAGAGTTTAATTTACAATTAATGCATATGAAAAATGTGCTCAACTTCTTTCAAACTAATTTTGAAAAATGTATTCTCCTAAAATATGTCATTGTCAGTGATTTGTGCAATACGTTATTTTTTTGCTATCATTGTGTATCAAAAAAATTTTCGCATCAAGGATGACTAGGCACAACTAACTAGATCTACATATGTATTCATAATATGATAGGTCATATTCAACATGTGCTCAAGTTAACATCATTTGGAGCACTATTTTCATTGGCCTGACATATTATCTTGCCCACTTTTATCTAGTAATAAACTAATATTATATCATCTTTTGCCCAATATTATCTTACCCACTTTTACGAGTAATAAACTAATAACATATTATCTGACCCATCCTCTTTTTAATGACACCATCCAATCAACATATTTTTATCTACTTGGCACTAATCCGAGGCCTCATTTTTTATAGCGCTTGCTTGTATGTCCATTATCATTTGCCCAACATAAGTCTATTACTTCATCTCCAAATCCTCATCCTAACAAACCATAATGACCGATGCTTACATGTGTCAATCCAAATTTGATTGAACTCTCATTTCATAATATTTCATAGATCCTTATGAATTACCTCCAAAATTTCTCCTTTGTAGGGCATCAATGTGGCATGACCATTCTTAATTAGATTTAATAGCCAATGTGGTTTTGACACATGTTGTATAAAGACATGTTTTACATAATCCAAATTGCTCATACATTATATGCATGTGCTTATTCATTTTCTTTTGGATTTAATGATTATATATCACATGACAAATGCATATAAGAAAAAACTTATTTAGACTTTTAAGTGGAAAAAATTCTATCCATGCAGATAAATTAAAGTTAGATTGTCAATAAGCATACTAAAACCTTTAATTTTCTATAACATCAGACATAAAAAAAGTATTTTTTTGGCATGTATAAGGAAATATATTTGAATAAAGGGAATCTTTTGGAGTTTACATATTAATATTTCAATCTTATTAGTCAAAGCCTTAAAGCAAAATGTTCAAATCTAAGGCAACACCCATATTGACAAATGAGCAAGTTAACGATGTATAATAAGAGTTAATTGTTTAAAATTCTCATATAAATTCTTATCAAACTTGGCTAAGTGTTTTAACTTGAATGATAAAAAAATATGGCATGAAAATTAATATGATCTATGTTTTAATGTAAGAAAATTATTACCAATAATTTTTTCTGACTCGTCCCCAAAGCCAATTTAGAATATATTATTTAAGATGAGTTTCTTTTCTAATAGTATTTATGTTACATATTTATATGCTGGTTATATAAAGATAACAGAGATGAATATAAATAAGAATTGTATAGAAAAATCATTTTCTTCTTCATTTTTTGACCCCAAGGAGCACATGGCAATTCACTGACCTATGAAATAATACTTGAAGTTCCTAAAAAGTAATGATGGATATATTCTCTTGAATCATATAAGTCAACTTATATAATTTGAATATCACTTAGTCAGTTTTTAATAATAATTGATTTTTAAATTTGTGTAGCTTAAGTGATTGAAGAGGTGTTCATTTTTTTTTTTACATATTTTAAATAAAATACTAACATAATATAAAATCACTTTTTTTACCATTGTTTTGATGTCAAACATAAAAAGATTGAGGGATGGAGGGATAGATTGATCTACTATCTTGAGAGACACAAGTCCCTCATTGAATGTTAATACATTTGATTCTTCCATTAAAGTGCTAATGTCGCGGATCTAATATCATGAAAGATCTAGCAACGCTAAAGAAGAAGAACAGATGGAGCAATCAAGAAGAATCAGTATTAGAAGCTAAAGCAAATTATTACAGGGGAGAACTGTTTATAGAGCATTAGAGAAAAACTCTGAAATGAATTGGCTACAGTTAACTGCAGAAGATTCTATTTTTTGTTTCAGCCAATTGTATCAACCTTTACTATATTACTGTCATCACTTAACACAGATTATATTATTAAAGTTGAGATACAACTCACTCAAATAATAAATAATTAAATATTACGAACATGACACAGTCTAACTTAATAATTTCTTAAAAGTTGAGTTTAATTTTGGTCATTAAGGTCACTTTCTTTTACCCAAACTCCACTATTAATGTTATAAAATTTAAAAGCCAAAGCAATATCAAGGAAATGATCAGGTGTTTGTGGGAATGGTGAATCAGTGCCCAACTGATGTTCATCTATTTTATTGATTCTTTTCTAAAAGAAGATTAATTGTATGCTTATTTTGAGTCATTGTAATTTGATGAAGTTATTTGGATATAAATGTTTTGTAGTTACAACTAATTAATGGTTTTCTAGTGAGCAATCATGTCTGTTTTGCCGTCGACATCGACTGTTAAGCAACAACTATGCTTCATTTTTGCAACATCAGTTGCTAGCCACAATATGCATGCTTCTGTTAGCCATAATCATATCATAAATTTATGCTTTTAACATATATCTAGTTTATGTTGTGTCACATTCTTATTATTAACTTTTTATGCTGTAATATTACAATAGAATACTATAGTTTAATATAAAATACTAATAAAATAAAGGGACATTGACATACATCTCACTCAATGCTTATGGATTTATGAATCTCACATCAATACTTCCATTTTTATTTGCATAGCAACCAATTCTTTTATCATATAAAAAAAAATAGCTCTTATTATATTTTGTAATGATCGAATCCATCTTTTCATACATAGATAAAGCGCTATGCATGAAAAATTAAAAATTTAGTTGTGAGAAACATAATTTATCAAGATCAGGAGGTATTTATGTAAATTTTCCTAAAATAAAATGCAAAGTTAATATTATGATTTAATGTACTGTTTTTAATCCTAATCATATCTATTGATTTCTTAAAATTGGTTGTGATTAGCTCAAATAAGCCATACTTTAAAAAAAAAATTCTTTCTGAATTGTGCAGTACAGATGCAATTTCATTGATTTCTAAAAATATATCTAATAGTAAAATACATAAAATAAAATAAAATGAATTAGTGATATTTGATAATATTTGATGATACTACTACAATATTTCACCACAATATCATCAAATACTATCAAATTCAAGCACATTCTCACTTATCTCATCCACACACAAATATTACTTCATTTTAAAGAGAAAGATTTGTGTACGTAAGATGTACGCAGCGCTGCGTATTGACTAGTAGGTTACAGGGAGAGTATTGAGGATTATATCCACATTATACTCTCTGTACATATAAGTCATAAGAAATTTACAGAGAATATAACGTGAATATAATCGCCCAATACCATCTTAATAATCCCGCTAAGGTTAAGTCTTAGGTGCACAAATTTTTTTCAATTCTAAATGGGCACAAATAACAACAATAACGGTAACCCCAACCCATTCATCAGTAATTGTTATTAAACGGCTTGAACACCTTGAGATCATCCACGATACTCGCCACCGATCCGATGGCCGCCGCCGCAGATATAACAAAACACCCGCCGC